ACGTCGACATTAATGTCGTCGACATTATCGCTGGCAAGAACAGGCTTATCGTCTAAAGTAATTTCAGGCGTCCAGGGGACTTTTGGTATTCTGGACCTCGAGGTCGTCACAGACGATGACCTCGGCTTCTTTGATTGTGTGGACTCTGATGGCTGTGTCTTAGCAGACCTTTTTTTGGGAACGGAAGCCGTCTTCTCACTCCCTGCCAATTGTGAAATTGTCAGGGTATCCTCAGCCTCAACTTCAGTGGCTTTAGCCTTTGGCTGGGCTTTCTTGGTTCGTTTCGGCTTTGGTGGGGGCATGGTTTGCGTCAGCTGAGCATCGACGTCAACAGGGAGATCGGCAAGGAGGTCTTGAGCAACGGGCTTTGGGCGACCCATCTCAGCAGTTTTGATAGGTCTTCGCCGACGTTTTCGTTCTTGTATTGGGACCAAGTATGGGGCCGAAGTAGATGGTTGATTGGTTAGGTCAGATGTTGATTCTTGATCTGTTCGTGATGTAGAGGCGGTTTGAGTTGGGGCAGTAGGAGGAGAAAGGCTTTTCTTCTTTCTTTTTGGGACATCGGGCAAAATCGATTTGTATGTAGGAATAAAGTTGAGAAGAAGAGGTGTTTTTCTTTTGTGAATTGGCAAGTCCAGGAGTTTTTTCAGGTCCTTACTGGGAACGTAAGATTGACAGAAGTTTTTCGCTGGCTTGCGAACGTCTGCAAGAAGAAACAGACATTAGAAACAGATAAAATATTGAAGACTTGAACAGAAACAACTAAGTATTGACACTGGGCTTTTACCCTTGCCCTCTTTAATTGATCGGGGAAGAGGGTAGAGATGGGCGTCCTCGTCTGCGCCAAACTCCCAATTTCTCGAAGCAATAACATAATCATCTCCATCTCCCTTGTTGGAGTTTGGGAGGTCGGCTATGATTTTGAATTCTGTAGACCTCGGCTTAAGATAATAAATGAAGCATTTTTCTTTCAAGTTAAGGGCATACATGGTGTAACAATACTGTATGTCGGATAAGGTGATCCTAACGTTTTCCTATTTAGCTAAGGCGATAATACCCAAAATCACTCGATAAGAGTTGATTGCCAGTTGCATGGTGTTCAACTTATAATAATGAAGAATCTCGCGAAAAAGGATGTTGAGTGGAAGCCGGAGTCCGCACTTAGTAAAAGCTACAATGGGAAAGGGCATGGCGTTTTCTGTAGGCATGATGGAGTCGTCATCCCCAGCCAGTCTCAGGTGGGACATCGGCAGGGATGGAGAACTCTTGCCTAAAGTACTCAAGTTTGGTCGGGGTATCTACCCTATGTCTCCACATACCCATGATATCGACTTCTATTAGAAGGATTGAAATTTAGAAAGATATTTCTTATTGATGGGACCTCGGCAAACAGTGAAAGTAGGTGTAGGTTTTTAGTTTTTTCCTAAGTTATGGGTTCTACAATCAAATCCCAAACCTAAAGCTATGAAGATGAAGATCAAAGGTACAGATCTGGAAAAGATACAAAAAAACAGAAAACAAATACGAAGTTTCAGAGTCAAGAACAGAGATGGACTATCAAGAACATGAAGAATACAAAGGGTTAAAGGCCAGGAAACAGTAGCAAGACATGCAAGAAACACTAAGAACAATACATGTATTCAGGGCATAAGCAAAATACAAAATCAACGCATTCAGATGTATGATCTACAAATTGATTATTTAAGTAAAGCAGTAGTAAACAAGAAATTCCAAGAAAGATCAAGAACTGGAATAGAAAGAAACAGATGCTTACCAGAAAAAAGGAGGCCGGAAAGGGATTTGCCGACGTCCTACGACGGTTGCAAGAGCAGAAGACCGGTGGAAATCTCGCCGGAAGGTGTGAACAGAGAAGGATACAGAGCTTTGGAAGCTTAAGCAATGACGGATTTGAAAGAAAGAGTTTTTAGAGAGAGAAAAAAAAGGCAAGAGAACTCAGATGCAAAAGTGAAGAGACGAAAGAAAGGGGGAAAGATTTTGTCAAAAAATGAAAACGGCGGCAAAAGCAATCAATACGCCTAAAAGAGCGCATACGTCAGACGGCGCATGTGAAGAAGAGATGACTTATGGGCGCGTCACAGGCACGAGCTAGTAAGAAAGCAATGCGTGTCTAAAACGGTTGAATTGAAGTGCATGACAGCTCATGCGCATAAAAAGTTCCTTAAAAATCTTTGATTTTTTAGGGAAAGCATGTCGGCCAGAAATGAATGATCTCGGCTGTCAAATCTTAAGCCGATTTATTGGAAGAAAATACAGATATAGGTGCCGAGGTAATAGAACCTAAGGGGCAGTTGTGGGGATGTATTTTCTAAATACCAACACGTGGCAAGGTGACGCCGACGTGTTAGTCGAAGTGCCACGTGTCCTGGTTGTGATGCTGAGGTTATCTCCGAAGATATCGGAATCCGAGATAA